AATTTTTTAGTTTTTTTTTTTTTTTAATTTTTCTTTTTTAATAAAAATTAAATCTAAAAAACAAATATATAGTTTTTCATATTAAGTTTTAAGAAAAATATTGATTTAATTCTTATATGTTTACTTTATTTTTATCTTTATTATATATCATAAAAGCTTTTTCATTTTATAAAAATAAATTTTCTTCTTATAAATTCTTAATTTTTAATTCATAATAACGTGTAAGCTTTTCTTTTTCCTCTTTTAATTTAATATACTATTCGATATAGTCATTCTTTTAATTTTATCAATAATTAATTTTTATTATTAAATTTTATCTTATAAACCTTTTATTATAATTTCATATTATTCTTTTAATTTTTATTCATAATCATTTTATAATTATTATATTTATAATTAAGATTATTATTATTATAATTATTATTATTATTATTATTAATATTAATATTAATATTATTCTTATTATTTTTATTATTATTATATTTATTGTTATTATTATAGTTATTTTTATTATTCATTTGTATTTTATTATTGTAATTATTATAATTAATTTATTTCTATTTATTAAAATTCTAATTGTTCTTGAAGTTATTTAATTTAATTTTCATAATATATTTACTATCTATTTTCAATATTTAATAAATTTAAAGACTAAAGTTTTTTTTTTTTTTTTGTATTTTTATTTTAAGGACTTGTTAATTTTGATGAAATTTTATTTTAGCCATTTTTTTCTTTGAATATATTAGATGAAATTATTATTTCATTTTAGGTGATTTCTTTCTTTTAAATCATATTATTTTTTTCTCTAGTTTTTTGTAATATTTTATTAATCATTTTTTATTATTTTTTTAAATGTAATATAAATAATATTAAAAAAAAATAGATTAAATTTTCTATAAGGAAAATTTTAATTATTTTTCTTAATTTATTTAATTCAATTTTAATACTAATTTTTTTTTATTTTCTAAACAATTTCAAGAAAATATATAAAATTTATAAAAAAATGAAATCTAATTTAAGTATAATTTTTATTATTAGTGAATTAAAATAAAATATATATATATTTAAAAATATTTAATATACAAATAGCAAAAGATAATATAGTAATTGTTTAATTTTTTATTATTGATTTTAATAATAATTTATTTGAAAAAAATCTCATTATAACAATAATAAAATATATTTTAAATATAACAAAAAATAAAGGCAAAAGTATTAAAAATAAACACTAATATGGCATAATAAAGCTAATAAATAAATGAACCTAATACCCCTTCTTTTCATTCATGCAACTAAAGGTAAATTATTGGAAGTTCCGAAGTTAAAAATGGATTAATTTTTGATTAGCATCCTTATAATAAAAGTGAGCCAAATAATAAAGGTAAATAAAATATTTATATTTTCAAAAAAAAGCAATATAATAAAAAAGGATAAAAAAAAATATTTTTTTAAAAAAATAAAAATATAAATTATGTATTTAGTAAAAAAAAATAATATTGCATTTATATTTTATAAAATGTATATATAAAAAGATAAAAAATAAATTTATATAAATATATATATAAATATATATAATTATATTTATATATATATATATATTATTATATATATATATTATATTATAAAAAGGATAAAAAATTTTATTTAGAAGTTAATAATTACAAAATGAAAATACAGTAAGTGTTTCAAAAATGTTGGCGTAAGGTTTTTCGAAATTATATTGTTAGTCCCCTCATTAAAAAAGTCTTAATATAAGTAGGGATAGACAATCATATCCCAATAATTCATCAAATTATATAATTTTAGAAGAAAAAATTAAAGAAACTTCATTAATTTAAACAATTGTTAGGCTTAATTAAGAAATAAAACATTTAAAAAATTAACATTTATTAAAAAGTCGAGAAAACTGTAATGAAGGTGAATTTTAGAAAGCAATAATTGAAGAATATAAATAAAAATACGATAATTTATTTGAAGAATACAATTACATTTTTTAATAATTATAAGATTTGAATTAAATAGTGGAATAATTTGAAACTGAGAACCAACAATTATAAAATTCAATTTAAAATTTAGAATTAAATAATTCTCTTTAGAATAAAATTTTAGAATTATAAAAGAAATAAATTTTTGAATTATAATAAGAAAAATAATAATAATTCTGTTTTTAATTAGAGGAGAAAAATACTATTTTTAAAAATGAAAAAACAAATGAGATTTATTAAGATGAAATACAAAATGAGCTTTCTTAAGAAAATAAAAATTAATTTTTATAGAAGAAAATGAGAAAAATATAATTTAAAGGATTAATGAATTAAAATAAGAAAAAAAAATTAAGAACTTATATAGTGTTATTAAATTGTTTTAGAATTAAAAAAAAATAGTAAAAATATGAATTTGATGAAGATAAAAAAAATAAAAATTATTAACTTTTAGAAGAAATTAATTAGGAGTTGGTTAAAAAATAAGATATTTTAATTAATTAAAATAAAGAATTTATAGATAAAATAAAAGAACAGGAATATGTTATAGAGAAATAAATTTATAAAATTAAAGTTTTGGATTAAGATATTTAAAAACTATAGGAAAGTCAGAAAAATAATTTAATGTAAAATAAGGAAGTGAAAAACAAAGAATGTATAAAAAATAATAATATATAAAAGAAGGAATAATAATAAAAGCAAGATAATAAGAAATCAGCTGATGATATTTTGTATGTATTATATTTTAAATAAATAAAATATTTAAATATATATGTATATGTAAAAATATATATATAATATATTAATATATATATATATATATATATATATATATATATATATATATATTTATTATAATTACACATTTTTTAGAGAATATGAAAATTAAGAAATTTAAAATGATTTAGAAAATTTACCTTAAATGTATATGTATCAATTAAAAATTTTGTTGAATAAAAATAATATTTTAAATTAATTAAATATTGAACTTTAATAATAAAATAATAATTTAAATTTTAATATGGATATAATTTTAAAAGACTTAGAAAAATTGTCTTCTGAAAAAGACGAATTATAAATAAAAACATAAATTTTAATAAATGTTATTAATGAAAAGTATTTTTTTTAAATAATCTATAAATATTTATAAAATAAACAATAAGTAAAGAATAATTGTAGCTTTATTAAGAATAAAATAAATAAAATTTTGAATTAATTGAAAAATTAACAATAGAAAATAAATAATTGGAATAAAAAAAAGAAGATTTTTAAATTTTTAATGTTAAAAAAATTATGAATGAAGAATGTTAATAGAAAATAAATTGTTAAATTTTATTAAGGAAAAACTTCTTTGATAATTATATTATTTAAATCGAAACTGTTTAAGAAATAATTATTTTAATGGCTAATGATATAACAGATTTAGTTCCTTCTAAGAATGATAGTTTTACTTTTAATATAGGATATAAAGTATATATTTTTTAATTATTTTTAATTTATAAATTATAAAGTAATATAATAATAAATATATAATTAATTTTGAAGTATGTAATAAAAATGAATTAAAAAATGTTTGTAAATAAATAAAGTAAATTTTTTATTAATTTATTATTTATAAATATATATAATTTTTTAGAAAATATTTAATATTAGCGTAATAAAATTAAAATTAATTATATTCACCTGAATAAAGTAAAAATTTATTAACTTCAATTTCAACATTTATTGGTAGTTGAAAGTATATATATTTTTTTATATATAATTTTTTTTTTAATATATTAATTATACTATCTTTATTTTAAGTTTAAATATGATAATATTATTTGTATTTTAAAATAAAAATTAAAATAAAAAAATATAGATAAAATATATATATATATATATATATATATATATATATATATATATATATATATATTTTATTATAAATTAATTTTTTTTTATATTTTCATAATCTAATATTTGATTATATATTAACAAAAAAAGATACTAAAAAATAAAATAAAAATGATTTCATTATTATTGTTTATTTCGACATTTTTATTATTTTTATAAATTGTTTAATCTGGTGTAATTAAATAAAAAAAAATAATAATAAAAGAATAATAATACTTATGATAATAAAAAAAGCATATAGAATCTGGAAAAGGAAAAGCAGATGAATTAAGAAATCTAGTTTAAAATTCAATGAATGGAATTATTAGTTTTAATTCAACTGGATATAAGTATAATTTTTTAAAAATATTTAATTAAAAATATTAAAAAAAGATATTTTATTACAGAATAACCAAGACCATATGAAGTTGTAATATTTTTTACTGCTCCAAATTGTAATTTTTGTGAGTAAAATAAATAAATTAAATTCGTTTTTATTATTTTTATTTTAATAAAAAAAAGTTAATTAATTAGCGAATATGTAAATGCCGCATAAATTTATTACGAAAATAATGCCCACTATCCTTACTAAGAAGATAATAAAAAATTAAGAGCTGTTTTTTTCGGAATCATGTCTTTCCAAGAATCCGTAAAGGATGTTTTTATTGATGTAAAATAATAATTTTTAATATTAAAAAATAAAAACTAATTAAAATATAATAAAAAATAGCTTGAATTTAAATCTGTTCCAAATATACTTGTTTCGATACCAAAGCATGCGGTTTATTCTGAAGAAGAAAAGTATATTTTTATCTTAAAACAATATAATTAATATATTTAAAAGAGGTAATTTTTTGAAAATATATAAATGGCAAATTAGTGGATCAGATGGTCATGTAACTATGCATAAACTTTTAGAATACATAAATAATCGTACAGGAAGAAATGTAAAGCTTTAATATTTAAAACTTATATTTAAAAAAAAAAAAGGTTGAATATAAAGTCACTAATATTAATATTATTATAGGATTAACTATTTTTGTTTGTTTAATGATTTTAACTATTATTGTATTTAAAACATTCAAAAGCTTCTTTTTAAATACAAAAATGTGGTTTATTGTATCTTGTGTAAAAATATATTTTAAAAAATTAATATATTATAATAAATATATATAAATTAAAAAAAATATTTGTGAAAATAGGTAATTTATTTTTTCTGTATTGCAGGATTTATATATAATATAATTCATAATGTTCCATTAACTGTAAAATATATATAAAAAAAGCAAATAAAAACAAATATATATATATATATATGTATTTAATATATTATAAATATATATATATATATATATATATATATATATATATATATATGAATAGTAAATTGATTAAAAAGGATAATTTTAATGGATAATGGATAATTAAAGAATGTAATTAGGTGCAGAAGGATTTGTAGCTTCAGGATCAAGTATAGAATAATTATTTTATTTTTTTTATTTTTTCATTTTTTTTTAAGTTTTATTCGCAGCATTGACAATAATTTTTTGGCACTATATTTCGAAGCTAAATTTTGATACTAATACTGTTAAAATGTGTTATATTTCAGTTTTTGGATTAACTTTTTTATTGGTTCTTGTTGTTGAAGATATTTATAAAAAAAAAGGATGGTATACTATTTAATTTTATCCTCCAGATCATTATCTTAATGGGTTTTTTTATTATAATTTTTTATATTTATTTTAATTAGACCTATTATGAATGATTAAGGAAATACTATTTGAAAATGATATTATTAATAAGTTCAGAATTTTTTATTAATGTATTTTACTTTTGATTTAGTATTTTTTGTTTTTTAATTTTAATTTTATTAGATATAAAAAATTTTTATTTATATATATTTTTTTTTTCTATTAAAAAATAAAAAACTATTATAAATTTATTTTTTAATGCATTTTTTGATGTATTTTAATTTAAATATTTTTAAATTTAAAATAACTTCAAAAAAAAAAAAAAAAAAAAAAAAAAATATTTAAAAATTAAAACAATAATAATTTTTTTTTATATATTATTTGAAAATTTTTAAATCTTAACAAATATAATCATATAAATCTTTTATTTAAATATTGTTTTTTTTAAAAAAAAAACACAATATATATAATATAATAAATATATATATTAATTCTTTAAATTTTTTTTTTTAAAAAAAAGCCAATTAACACATAAAATATTACATATGGTATTAAATATTTTTTTTTCTCATTCAAATAAAATAATAAAAAATTAAAAAAGTATAGTGAAGGCCCAAATAACGCTAGAATTTCAATAGCTATAACTCGCTAATTAAATTAATTAAAATAAAAATCTCCAGATGGTAAAACAATTATGTAATATAAAAATTAATCAAAATTTTTATTTTTGTTAGGAATACATATAATAATAAATGATACTGATATATTTGATATATAAGCAGATGTTAAAGGACCAGGTATAAAAATAATTTAATATTTTTATTTTTTTTATTAAAATTATTTAAAAAAAAAAAAAAAAAAAGTTGGAACTCCTTATGAAAATGGAACTTTTAGATGTAAATTAATTTTACCTTAAGATTTTCCTTTAAGTTCTCCAAAAGGATTTTTCCATACAAAAATTTTCCATCCAAATATATCTGATAAAGGTGAAATATGTGTAAATACATTAAAAAAAGACTGGAATCCTCAAAACTGGTCTTTCTATAATATATTTGAAGTAATTAAATGTTTATTGGTAATTCCTTTTCCCGAAAGTGCTTTAAATGAGGAAGCTGCGAAATAATTTATGGAAAACTATGATGAATATTTTAAATATGCAAAACTAATGACTTAGTTATATGGGAAGCCGAGATTAAATAATGAAGATAACTATGAATAAAATAATAAAAATGAATAAAAATAAAAGCAAAATATAAAAAATTATAGTTAAGAAGGTAATGTTTTTGGAGAAGGATAAATAAATAATGTTTTTAATATATAAAATGTAGATAATAATAATAATTATTATTTTAAATAATAAGTAGTTTCTTAGTAATAAAATGGGAATTGGTATACATAAAATTAGATTTGTTCAAATAATAATAAGGTGTAAATTAATTTAACTTTTAATAACTTTTCTAATAATTAAGATTTCTTGAGTAAAAAAAATGAAAACTAATAATAAGATAAATAAAATAATGAAAGAAGGAAATGGTTAAATAGGATTTGAAAATAAATATATATATATATATATATAGATTTTTTTTAGTTTTTTTTTTTTTTTTAGTTTTTTATTTAAATAATTCTATATCGAATTAAATTATTAATATATTTATTTATTATTATTTTTTTTTTTAAAAAAAAAAGTAATATTTTGTTCTTATTTTTTTTTAAATTTATTCTATTCTAAAAAATATTTATGCGCATTCATATTTTTTTTTTTTTCATAAAGATAATTTTTTTAATAATTTTTTTTTTTTATAAATTATAAAATTAATTAATAATTTTAATTATATATAACAAAAAAAATTATTATTGTTTTTTTAAAATATTATATAATATTAATAAATTTATAAACAACTATATTTTATATATCAAATAAAATAAATATTTAATAATAATTTAAAAAACAATAGAATGCAAGTATAAAAAGAATATTAATTAAATTAATATATTTTAATAATTTCATTAAATAACTTAATAAAACAAAAAATCTATAAATATATATATATAATTGATAAATTAATTGATTCTACTTTCTTCCCAAACCCCTTATTTATTAATTTCATCTTATAATATCTAATACTTTTTAACATAAAATATATAATAAAAAAATCCGTTTTAAAAATTAAAACCTTTCCTATGTTATTTCCTGTTTTTCCAGAATCTATGTTTTTTATTATTCAATTATTCACCCTCTATATACCTTTTCGCCAGCCCAAAAAATACACTCTATACCCAGTAATTTCATTATCAATAAAATAACCTATATATATACTTTATCTTGAAAAAAAAGGATACATGTAACCGTATTTATTTATATTTAAATAATTTCTTTCATATTTTGTACAATAGCCCCCCCCCCTTATCCATTATGAATATAATTTTTCATTATCCTTCATATTTAGAAAGTATTTTGCCATATAATTTTCCCAATATCATTCATATATGTCCCTGTCTATATGATAGAATTTACCACTTCCATTGGCTTTATCTTTGAGGTAATAACCCTCATAATGAGTATCATTGGGTTATATTTGTTTACCAAAACCGTATTTCACTCCGTCTTTCCATTCTCCTTTAAAAGATCCCGCATTTTTTTTATATTTATTTATACCTATGCGGTCCTTTTTTGTTTTTTAATTATTTTATTTATTATTCGTTGTTAAATCTTTTATTAGTAGAATATTTTTATTTGATTTTTTTTAAAAATTAATTGTTTGCTTTTTATAATTTTTATATAAAAGCATTTTAATATTTTTTACCTTTACTTTAAATGTAGATTAATGCAAATCTTGGCATTAATATTTTTTTGTTACTTTTATATTATAATTGATTTTTGATATTTTTTCGGGAGAAATTTGGTTAGGTTTTTTATTGGATTACTTCTACTTCTTGCTCTTTGGGACTTTTAAAGTGTGAGTTTTATAAAATTATATTTTATTTTCTTTATATATATGTATATAGATTCAATTTAATTTTTTATTCAATATATACATATTATCAACTTCCAATAGATTATTTATTTATTTTGTTTTTTATAATTTGTTAGTTTTAAAATACTAATTTATTTTAATTCTTTTTTATATTTTTGACTAAAAATCAATTAGTATAAATTTTTTAACTATAATAAAAAAATAACAAAATAAATTTTATATCCCAATAGAAAAAAAATAAAATGAAATAAGGAAAATTATAAGAAAAAAAAAATATATATATTATTTTAAGTTAAATGAAAAATAGTTTAACAAAAGGAATATATAATATAATTATTATAGTAAATATTAAAATCAATTATAGCTTTAATATAAAAAGAAGTAAATTAGTTTATATTGAGTATAATTATATATTATTATATTAATATTTATTAAATAATTTATTTATTTAGTTTTTAAAAAAAAGATATTAACAAAATATTTTATATATATATAATTAAATGAAATTTTGTTATAATATATAAATAAATATATATTTATATATATATATATATATATCATTAATCTTAATTTTCTTTTTTTTCATTTAAATTTTTTTTATAAGGTAAAATATATTAATTTAATTTAGTATTAAATAAAATAGGTAAATTAGGTAAATATATTAAATAAAAATTAATACTTATTATTTAAAATAGAAAAAATAATATAAAATTAATATAATTACAATTATAAAAAAAATATATTAAAAAGTTTTATTATAGGTTCAAAGAGTATAATTAATTAAATAAAATATGTAATATGCGATAAACCTATTAATAAAATGAATAAAATTATTATAATTATAAAAAAAAAATATAATTTATCTGTAAAATCAAAAATATATAAAAAAAAATAGTAAAAAGATTTATAATTATAATATATTGGTAAAAAAAGAAATAAATATATTAATAAAAAATAAATACAATGATTTTTTAATAAAAAATATAATTAAAATAAAAAAATGTATTTATTACAATAAATTATAATATAAAATTTCAAAAAAAAATGTTTTAAAAATAAAATATATAATTTTGATTTAAAGATAATTTGTAAAAAAAAAAAAAAAAAATTATTAAAAAATTAAATTAATAAATTTAAAATTAAAAAATAGATTTTAAAAAAAGATATTTATTAAATAATGTAATATCCTTAAAATATTTAAATTATGATTATATATATATAAAAAAAAAAAGTATATAATATAATATTTAAATATATAAATATTTATAAAAAATAAATATATATATATATATATTTATTTATATTTTTATATATAGTATTACATTTAATATTTATTTATACATTTTTTTATTTATTTATCTAAATATATGAACTTATAATCACAAAAAAAAAAATCTATATATAAATAATTGTGAAAAATAATATATACTTTAAGTCAAAGATATAATGATAATTGAATATAATATAAATTTGTATTTTTGTTGAATAAATATATATAATATAAAAATATTTTAATTAAATTAATTTATAGAATAAAGTAAAATAAATATATATATATAAGAAAAAAATATTTTTATAATTTGATTTTTATAATAAAGATTTTTATTATTTTAAAATTAAATATATATATAAAAATATATTAATAATTTCTATTAAGTAATTACTTTTTTTTATATATAATAATATGATTAATAATAAATAAATATAAAAGATAATATATTAATATTTTAATTAAAAATACACTTTTTATTTAGTAATATATAAAAATGTATATATATAATTTTAAAAATATATATATAATATATATATATATATATATATATATATATATATTTTATTTATTTTTCATGAATAATTTCTAATAATATTATCACCTTCTTCTAATCCTACAATATAATCTGGATATTCTACTTATAAAAGATAATAATTTTCTTAATCTTCTAACCCAAAAGGGTTATATTCACAATTAGCCTTTTTAGGTATTATATTTTTGACATTTGCTATTAATAATAGTTAACAATTTTATAATAGTTCTCTATGTTTTAATGACAATGTATCAAAATCAAGGAAAAGATTATTTTTATACTGAATTTTTTTAACCATTGAATCATTATTTTAACAACTATTATTTAATTAATAATCATCATTGTTTTCATTGTTTATTTATTTTAATATTAATGGTATATAATTATTTTCACTACAAGGTATAAATATCATTTTTGATCCTTCTTCTAATCTAATAAAAATAATATATACATATATTTTAATTATAAATATACCTTGTTATATTTATAGATTCTTTCATAAGAATGGTTTTTTAATAACTTATGTTATATCTATATGTTCTAGCATTTATTAAGATATAATAGGTATTTTTTTACTTTTTGAGTCTATATTTTTCAAAATTTTTCTAAATTTTTACGCTTCATACGATGATAAAGTCATATTATTATCATCTTCTTATATATCCTCTTCTGAGGTTTATGTTTGGATATTATTTTTCTCTTAATTTATTTTCTTTTCTAATATTTAGATCTGCTTTTTCATATTTTTAATTGAAGATTCAGCCTAAATCAACTCTTCGGCTAATATATCATTGTCTTTAAGGCTTTTTTCCAATTCTTGTTCTTTAAAATAGAAATTTTTTTCTAGTTTTTCAACTGTTTGGCTATGTATGTTTAAACATATAGTATTTTTTTTCAAAAGGTCATATTATTATTACATATTATTATAATTAGAAAGTAAATTTTAATAATCTTATTAAACTTTTTGAATATTTTAATTCAAAGTGTCGTTTTCAATTTGTTTTTGTTAAATTTTAGTCTCTAATTAAGATATATTGACTTTTAAAATTTATTAATAATCATTTAATTCTTTTAATTGGTTTTCTTAAAAAATCAATTGTATTTATTATTCTTAAATTTGCTTTTCATTACTTTTTATTTATAATATGCTTTATTCTTATTCGTGTTTATATTGCTACTCTTGCCTTTGGAAATCTTCAATTTAAGATTTTAAAAATTAAAGTTCAGTTTAAATTGATTAAAGGTTTTCTTGTTTTTATAATACTTCAAGGTTTAATTGTTTAAAACTTTAGTCTTTTAATGACATTGATTTTAAATTGGAATTTATTTATTCATTTAATTATTGTAACTATAAATAAATATATTTAAATAAAATAAATATATATATATATATATATATATATATATATATATATATATATATATATATATATATTATATTTTTACTTCTTCTTCTCTTTCTCTTATCTTTTATCTTAATTCAGATAAAAGTTAATTTAATTCTTAGTTAATACGATTTGATTCGTTATTCCTTTCTTTTAAATTTTAAATTTTTTTTTACATTTCTTCTTCTTCTTGTTTGTTTTTTTCAGTTTCTTTTTCATATTCCTATATTTTTTTTATAATATATATAAATTTTTATTTATAATATTGAATGATTATATATTAATTTTTTATATATAGAATAAAATATTTACTTTTATATTTATTTTTTATTATTCTATAATTTATATATTTATTTCTAATTCAGATTGTATTTAATTTAATTAATTTTACAAATTATTAATTGTATTTTTCTATTAGTTCATTGTTTCATTATTTTCATATATTTAATTAGTATATATTTATATTTATATATTTTGTTTTTGTATATTATCTTCATTATTTTATTAATTTAAACATTATTTTTATAAATTCTCATTTAATTATTAAACTTATTATTATAATTCTTAAATATCTTATTGTTAGATTTCTATAATGGTTTATTTATCATTTAATTTTGTTAACTCATCTTTATATTTTGTCAAATTTTAAATTTCAGTGTTCTTTTTTTCTATTTCAAATTATTAACTTTGAATTATTTATACATGTTTCTATCTTTCAGCTTCTATAGACCTTAACATTTCGTCGAGCTTTTATAATCTTTAGATTTTATCTTATAGGGAAATTCGATCCTTTTATAAATCTTCACCAAGATGTTATTTTTCAAGATTTAACTGGGCTATTTATTTATTTAATTAAGTATTTTCTTATAGTTTTTTTTCGTAAGCTATTTGTTAATTTTCTAATTTTAATTTTAAATTTTCTTGCTCTTTTTTAAGTTTTTCATTTTCACTTTTTATATTATTTTTATTTAATAATATATATATATTTTTATTTTACATTTAATTTTCATCTAAATCATTTAAAAAATTTTATATATCTCTTTTATTATTTTATATTTGAATTTTTAATTCTTGCTCTTATTAAAGTTAACGATTTTTTTGTTTTTCTAGTTCTTTATGGGATTATTCTTATATTTCTTATATAATTTTTAAGTTTTCTTATTTTAATTGCTTTTCAATTAATTATATTTTTTTTGATATTTCTTCGTTTTCTTTTTGTTTTTATACTATTTGAGTATTTAATCCTATTTTATAATAAATAAATTAATTTATAAAAATTTTTTATATAAATATATATATATATATATTTATATATATATATATATATATATATAATATTACTTAATAGTTAATCTTAATTTTATCTTATAAGTTTATTTTTTTCAATTAATTCTTTTTATTTATCTTTTATTTCTACATTAAGAATATTCACTTATTATTTGAATTGCTCTTTTTTATCTTCAAATGCTTATATTTATTTTTTAAACTCAGATTGAAATTTACCTTCTTATTATTTTATTTTATCTTCATAAAGTTATATCAATTGATTTTTTTCTTTAGAATAAAGTTCTTATTTATTAATAATTTAAAGTTCATATTAATTAATCATATCATTATATTGATTTTATTATTCATTCTATTTCCTTACAAAAATACTAAATTATACTTTAGCAGTTTATTACAATAATATAGTAAGATTTTTAATCCTATTATTTAATTTATTTATAGCATTTCCTTCTTGATAGAATTCATTATTTTCAAAATTTTTTTATATACTATCCTCATTGTCTTTTTGGTAAAATGAATGCACATTTTGAAATGCCAAATTTAATTCTTCCAATTCTTTTTCTAGTTTTTAAATAATTCTATTTTTTTCATTATAGTCATATTATTAATTTTTTAAAAGAACATTTTTCTATTTTTCGATTTCGAATTAGTTTTTTAATTCTTTATATTCGATATTGTTTATTATTTAAGGTATTTGTTGATTTTCTTAAGAAATATATCCTTTTTATTATTTTTGTATTATTTTTTTTAATTCTATTATTTTTAATTCCTGTTCCATTTAGTATTCCCTTTATTCAAATTAAGTAAATAATTCTGTATATTTTTCCTCATGCTCGTTTTCGATTTTGGGATATTTTTCTAGATTTTCAACTAAAAGGTGTATTTAGATTTTTAATTCCGGAATAAAATCTTAAGGTAAACATTTTCCAATTGATTTTAAAAATTAAAGTCTTTTCTCATTTTCAATTTTTATTAGAGTATTTAATTATTTTATTTCTATAATATATATATATATATATATGATGGCTTTATTTTATTTTACATTTTTCGTAATAATAATTAAATTCGTTTCTTCTACTTATTTCTTTGATTATTTATTTATAGTTTTAAATAAATTAAATTGGCTTTTGGAATTCATTGAATGCTTTTTCTAACTTAATTAATTCTAAGTCTAAATTCTTGAACTTCTCATATGTATATTTAGATATTTCTTTTGTTACTGGGTTTATTTTTTAATAGAATCTTTACATTATTTTAACATTGTTTAATTTTTATTCGCTTAATAATATATATGATTTTATTTGTTATTCAAATATAGTGTTTATATTAATATTATTTATATTATAGTCTTTTATTTTATTTTATATATTTATTATTTCATTTTCATTTATTTAATCTAAGTTGTTATTTTCTAATTATGAAATAATAAATTTTCTTATGTTTCTATAATCTTCTTAAATACTGCTAAAGATACTCTAAATAATTATTTTATCCTCTTATATATATTCTTCTTATTTATTTACTTATTCGCATTAACTATAATAAATATATATATATAATTTTATATATATTTATATATATATATATCAATTTTAATTTTTACTTTTATACAGTTTATGTTGTTAACACTTTTTATTCTTAGATTTTTTTTTTTAAAGTTTTTATATCTTATTAATATTCAATATTTTTTTATTTTAATTTTTCTTGTTGGCTTATACAATATTATTTCCATTAATCGATTTTATTTTGGTCGTAATAAATATCATATAAATATTTTTTTTTTCTTTTTTTAATTAATCATGTAGTTCTATTTTTTTGCTCTTTTTATTTAATAAATAATATTAATTTATTTAATTGTTATTTTTACATTTTGCATTGCTTCTTCATATTTTTGTAATAATTTAACATTTTTTTCTTAATTTTATCTGATTTTTTATAATATATCAGCTTTTCGGTTCTTACATATTGAATATTCACTAATTGCTCGCATTAATATAGATTCTAGACTTGAAGATTGAATACCTATTTCTTTACATACTTTTTCGATTTTCTATTATCTAGATAAAAACAAACAGAATTTATTCTTTTTTAAAATAAATAAAAGATAAAAAATTAATATTTTACTTTAATATTCAAATAATTTTAGAAAACTAATTATTCTAAATCTAATATTTTAGGGTCTTTAAGTATTAATTTTTATTTTTAATCTTCTGGTAATTCTAATTAAGTTTAGTAATCATATTCAACAATTTTTTAATCTAATTCTTATATTATGTTAATATTTATTTTAATAAAAAATATTTAATATTTTATAAGATTTACTAAATTATTTATCATCTTATTCACTAAATAATTATATTTACATTTTATGCTAATATATAAGCTATTATTAGTCATATTATTCTAATAAAATACTTTCACTAAATACAAATAAAACCTAAAATGTAAAAATGTATATATATATATATATTTATATATTTATTACATAATATGATTTATGCTTTTATTAGTCTACAGTCCTTTATGTTTAAGATAATGCATTGTCTTTTTCAATATCTCCTAAAATATCATCTTACTCAACTTTAAATCCACTTTTAGTAACAATTATTTAATCTTCAATATCTATTTTTAAATCTTTTTGTATTAATTATTAGATTTAGGATATTCTTTTTAATTATTTTTTTAATATTTTTTTCATTAATAAAAGTTGTTAAATGTAATATTTATTAAAAAAATTTATATTTATGTTTTTTTCATTTTGTATATATATATATATATATATTTATTTAGTTATATTATATTTTTATTTACTTTTAATCTGATGGTATACTATGATATGTTTAATATTAACCTAACTCTCCATGTTTAACAACTAAATCTAATAAATGAATTTATTACTTTTCTTATTTCTATTACATTTTTTTTTTTTGAATTATTTTAATAAATATATATATATATATATTTTTAAAAATATATTAATAATAAATATTAAAATTTTTATAAATAATCAAAAAAATATTAAATATTTGATTTTTTCTCTTAAATTTTTATTTTTTGGATGTTTTTTTTTATAAAAAAATAATCTATTGATATAATTAAAAATATAAATTTTAATAAATAAATAAAAATAAGAAAAATACAATCAAATAAATACATTTTAAAACTATAAAAATTATAATAGATAAATATTAATATTTATATAATTTTTTTATATTTAAAAAATGTTATAATTTTAAAAAGATTATATATATATTATAACTATTAAATTATATAATGATTTTAATAATTAAAATTTAGAAAAATATTTTATTTTTTTATATATTAATTTGTTTATTTTAAAAATATATATATATATTTTTAAGTTTTACTTATTAATTATATTAAACTTTTTATTTCCTTTTAAAAAATAATTAAATAAAGAAAGTATTTTATAAAATATAATTATTTATTAGAAAAATAAATCTTTATTCATTTTTTTTTTATAAATAAAAAAAAAATGATATTTGTTAATAATATTAAAAATCTATTTATTACAAAAATCTAATAACTCGTTTTCTAAAAAAGCTATAATAAAACTTCTCAAAACTATAACTTAATAGAATGTGAGGAATTAAAAAAACTCATAGATCAAAAGGCAGATATCAAAATTTTGTATGCTTATTAAGCTCCAATATCAATATAAAATAAAGTAATTAAATTAGATCACATTCCGTAATCAATAATGTTAAATTTATAAGAATTAGATGGAAAAAATAATAGTAAATATTAAAAAATACCATCTGATTAATAATTTAATAGTTTAATGTAAAAATAAAATATAAAAAAATAATAAAAAGTTATCATTTATTGCAATTCGATTACTAATTCTACGCGTTTACATTATTTAATGGATATTTTTGGATATTAAAATTTATATTATTTAAATGGGGGATTATTAAGATGGTATTAATTAGGTTTTCCTTTAAAATAGGAATATGTTTTATAATAAGAGAATTAAAATATTATAGAAAAAAAAGATGATTATTCATATAAATTAAATAAAGAAAAATTAGCATTTTTAGAAGATATAGTAGAAATAAACTAAAATTATAATAATTCAGATTATTTAATTATAGATACAAGAAAACCTTAACAATATTTTGAAGGTAAATATAAATATTATTTTATATATAAAAAATATATAAATATATATTTAAATATATATATATATATATATATATATATATATTAAATTAGGTTAAGAATTTTAATGGAAACATATTCCTGTATTAAATGTTATGATATAAAAAGATGGAAGATTTATTAATAAACAATAAATAGAGAATATTTTTTAGGAAAAAGATATTGATTTAAACAAGTTAATTATTAGTACTTGTAAAAGAGGATATTAGGCAACTGTTTTTAATTTTTTAGGCTATTATACTTTTGGAGATTATTATAAAGGTAAAGTTTACGATGGATCATGGGATGAATATTTATAATATAAAATATCTTAATAAAAAAACTGATATTTAAATATATGTTATATTTTTTGTTTTCATTTTTATTAATAAAAATAATATGTTTAAAAATCAAATTAATTATTTACTATTAAAGGTTTAGTATTCCATTTTGATAGAAAATAATGATAAAAAGATTCCATATTTTCTACATAAAGACTTATTTTTTCCAAAAAAATGAAACTTTAAAGCACTTAGAGTATTTTATTAAAGCTCTAAGTATCTTATATGTAAAATTTAGGACATGAAATGTACAAGTTTTATATTTTTTTGGATAAAAAAGATAAAAGATTCAAATTTTCAATTGAAGTTCCATCTAAAAGAAGTGTTTTTAAATTTGAGAAAATTCCAGAAAAATCTAAAAGAGTCTAATTGTCAAAAGAAGTATTATAGGAAATATCTAAATATTATAAAGTGTTGATTTTGGAGGGGAAAAAAGCTTTTTGGAAAAGAAATTTGTTAAAATTTGGATGAATTCTGTCCATTTTTCTTAATGAAAGTTTCCTTAGTTTTTAGCAATTTTATAGGAGGTTTTAAATGTCAAAATTACTGATTTTATTGGCTTCTAAATGCAATGTTTCGAGAGATAATTGACAGTTTTCAATTATTTTTTTGAGGCTTTTTTTTGTGAAGCTTTTTAACATTCTCACAGAAACCTTCCTTAAGAATTTTTGGTGCGAAAAAAATTAAATAGATTCATCTTTGGTTACTCTAGTGCAATTATTAATTGAAATTTTTGTCAATTAAACATTCATTTGAACCAAAAGTGTTAATGTACATTCTATTTAAGTGTAATCTATAGATAATTCTTTTAAATTTTCGTAATTACTGCTTAGTATGATGTTAAGGAGGCCATTATTTAATTAAATACAACTTGATAAGCCTAATGATGTTAATTAAAATTATTTTTGAGACAAATACATTAGGGAAAAAGTGGATATTTATTATGTGGATTTATAACTATTTATGTTAAGTTTTTATATATTAATAAATTTATTAAGGAAATCTTAAAATAAAGAATCATTAATATTTTTTGATGTGTCCTAATATTAATAGTCTAAAACAGTAAATTTTTGTAAGCTTTTTTTGGGCAAAATTAAATTAAAGAAATTAAAAGAAAAATCATTAATTCCAAAAAGATTATTTTGTTTAAATTTTAAAGAATTTATAAGTTTAAAAGTGTTTAAATTTTCACATATTTATTTTTCAGGAGTATATTAAGGATGTAAAAATAATAAATTTTTATAAGAAGAAATATTTTTTAATTTTAAATTTTTCAGTTTTTATGAATATTTTCTTTCTGGATGGAATATAGAAGTAAATAATAAGTTAAAATATTCGTTAGAAGTTGTAGTTCTTAATACTAAAGTTTCTAAATTTTTTATTTTATCCCAAAAATTAGATAGTTAATCGAATTCTTTGTTTAAATTTTCAATTCTTTTATTTTTTTATTTACCATATTCAATTATTTATAATTGTAAAACTATTATTTATTTAAATTTACTCATTTATTTATAAAAGGAAGACTTTTTAATTTATTTTGATTGTAAATTTACTAGTTTTAATTCTTTTATGTTTTCAGGAAATTCTTTAAGGAGTTTTTTAATTTTTATTCCTAAACAATTAATTGCTATTATTTATAATTTCTACCCAAATTATGAAAAAAATTTATATAAATTATCTTTTTTAAAAGATGTAGTATCTTATATAGAAAGAATTTTTAAATTTGTATTAAAATATGTTAATATGTCTTAAGTTAATTACTTATTTATGAATAATATGGCTTTTAATTAATTAAATTATAGGAAACTTAATATTAATTTCCTTAAATGATAATTTAATTATAAAAATTACATTTTTTTTTTTATTTTAATGAAAAATATTTTTTAATTAATTATAACTAATTTTTGTTTAATTAAATTTTTATATTTTAATTATATATAATCATTTTTTTAATAAATCGACACATTTTTTTATTAATAATATATTATAAAATTAATCTAATGATAAATTCTATGAAATCTATAATTATTTATTAAAAGTTTTTGGTTTATATTTATTTTATATATATATAAAAAAACTTTAATTAATTAATCTAAAGTTATTTCATCATTTTTAAATTTATTTTCAATAAAAGAAAAAGTTTCTTTTATTGCATTATTATCTGCTGTTAGTAAAGAAATTCTTTTAAAAATTTTAATAATTATAATAAAAAAATAAGGAATAAATATAAATAATATTATATAAAATACTATTTTTCGGATTCATTTTCTATATTTATATAATTTAATATGTTATCTTAATTTAAACTTTTTTAATCATTTTCTTATATAAATTATTATAACTTTTAATTTTATTAATCAAGTTATGTAAACTTTTCAACTAACTATTCTTATATTAAATAAGATATTAGACTATTATATTAAATATTATTTTTATATTCTTTTATATTATTTAAGTTTTATTTATGTTCTTTTAGGTTTTATTCTATTTCTTTTATTTATTCTTATGTATCTGCATTCAAAATTAATTATTTTCCTTAAATATTTAATGGATTTGAAAAACTATTTTATTTTTATTTCTGTAAGTTATAATTTTCTTGAATTGTTTAAGAATTTATTGTATTTTATTATTATGTTTTTTAATTAAGTGTATTATTTTAAAAATATTATTATTATATTTATTATTGGGTTTATTAAAATTATAATTATTATGTTTATAACTATTCTTAAAAGGAAAAATTTCTTAAAAATTTTATATCATTTATTAAACTAATGTCAACTTATTTTATTTTTCAAAAAATAAAATATATATATATATATATAATATATAAAAAATATATATATAAATATATATATATATTTATATATTTATAAAATATATATATTTATTTATTTATATTTATATATTATTTTTTATTTTATTACTATGTTTTAATGTATACTCCATTTTTAACTTTCTGATAAATATACAGAAATAAAACCATCTGTTTATTAATATTAATAAAAATTAGGATTTATCTTATTTATTTTTTTCTTTTTTTTATTATTTATTATTTATTATTTTTTTTTTGTTTTTATTTTTTTACCTA